GGATGATCATGACAGCTGATGGATAAGTTGATGGGGGGTTTGCCGTGTGCTGGTGCTATGATAAGCACTAGGCGTGTGATATCTGATTTAATTCTTATAATAACGCTAAGAGTTATTATCTCCTTTTACAGGTGAAGAAACTGAGGCTTGGAAGAGTTAAGTAACGTGCCCACGGGCACATGGCTGGAAAGTACCGGAATGCAAACTCAGGTTGGCCTGATTCTAGACTCCAGCCTCCCAGCACCCCATGCTGCCACGTCACGGCCATCTCTTGTAAAGTCCTTCCTCGTATTGAGCTTAAATCCAGCCCCAATCTCTCCCCTTCCTCCCAGGGACACATGAGTTTCGGTTCTAAATATCCTGTTTGCCATTGTTTCTAGAACTTTATCCATCCTCCTTTTTCTCTTGACTTGCTCAGGTACTGTAGCATCCCTTTTGGACTGAAATACTCGAAAGTGAACACAGTTCTGTCTACTCCATTATAATGTGATAGTTGCATTTTTAGGAACTCACACGTTATCAACAAACATCTTTTTTTAAAGAGTTCTTATATAAGACCTTTTTATTTTTTAGACAGTGTTAGGGGATAGAAAGTTCTAGACGTACAATAACAAAATTATTTTTTCTGCAAGGATTTTGATAACAAAGTTCTTTTTCATACCTCTAGTGATATTGTGATCACATATTTTTTTTTTTTTTTTTGAGGAAGATTAGCCCTGAGCTAACTGCTGCAAATCCTCCTCTTTTTGCTGAGGAAGACTGGCCCTGAGCTAATATCTGTGCCTATCTTCCTCCACTTTATGTGTGGGATGCCTACCACATTATGGCTTGCCAAGTGCTGCCATGTCTGCACCCGGGATCCAAACCGGCAAACCCCGGGCTGCTGAAGCGGAACGTGTGGACTTAACCGCTGCGCCACCGGGCCAGCCCCTCAGATCACATATTATAGTGATGTAAACCCTTAAACATCACTTGCTTACCTCTGGCTTTTGCTCAGGGGTGAGAGCCTCTTTCCCTCCCTCTCTCTCCCCCAACAGCAGCACCCTGTTAACAGTTTCTCATCAGTATCACCTCTTCTATTCCCGTATGACTCATTGTTTACTAAACGAGGCACAGAGCTCCCCAAACCTAGTAGCTGGGCTATGTTCCTAACATTTTTTTCCCTCTCATACTCCATGCTAGTTCCAAGTTGTGATCTGCTTATAATCAATAGCAGTCCCTAGTGATGCACATCATTTTTCCATTTAGTAATTTCATTATATATATATATATATCATTATAGCCAATTTTTGTTTTGAAAACACCACTGAGGGAAAAAACACCTGAACTCTCAGTGTGGTTTGACCAATGTAGCTTGCAGCTATCACTTTCTTGTTCTGAACCCTTGACTTCATGAATTCAGCTCAAGATCTCATTATTTTGGGTAGCTGCATTACCCTTTAGATATATATGGAGATTGTCTTCAACCAAAATCCATTTCCCCCACAACTGGGCTATCCATCTGCAGTTGTGTTTGGAGCCACCATGGAGGATCTTATACTTGCACCTGTTCAAGTTCATCTGATTAGACCTGGCTTGTTGTGCCAGCCCATGGTGGTCATCTGGAAGGCTGACTCTCCTTCAGCCTGGTGTCCTTTGTGAAACTGATAAGGATTACCCCTAGATCAGCATTTTCCAGTAGGTCATTCTGTGGTGATGGAAATGCTCTGTATCTGTGCTGACCAATATGGTAGTCACTGGCCACACGTGGCTACTGAACACCTGAAATGAGGCTAGTGCCACTGAGGAACTGAATTTTAAATTGTATTATTTAATTGTAATTGTGATTTTAAACTTTATGTCATTTAACTCCTTCAGCTTTCGCTTGTCTAGAGAACGCTTTCTCTCTCCTTCAATTCTGAAGGATGACTTTGCCAGGTAGAATAGTCTTGGTTGGCAGTTTTTTCTCTCCACACTTTGAATATATTGTGCCACTCCCTTCTGGCCCCCAAAGTTTCTGTGCTGAAAAATCTACTGATTGTCTTATGAGGGTTCCCTTGTATGTAACAGGTTGTTTTTCTTTTGCTGATTTTATAAGTCTAATTAATTTTAATTTAAATAGTCACATATGGCTAGTGGATACCATACCGGACAGAGCAGCTCTACCTGTTTACCTGAGACACAGGTGAAAAATCCTGAGGAGAATAGGGGCCACTGGAGATAGAACTCTGGATTGGGGATGGTCATTCAGTGATTATCAACCCCCTATATTTATAATACTTGAGTCATAGTTTCATCCATCGGTGCATATGGGTAGTGTTCAAGGACTTTGTCAAATCCCTTGTGAAATCAAGATGTCCTATATATGCATGTGGTTGCTTTGCTCTCCCAGCCTGGTAGAGTTTTTTTCAGAAAATAGGTGCCCCCCCCAATTTGTAGAAGTAATATGTGCCTTCTGTAGCAAAATGTAGGAAAGTACATAGAAGAAATTAACAATGACCAACAATTCTGCCATCCAAGATAACTACTGTTAACATTTCAGCATGTTTCTTTCATCTTTTTTCTGTGCTGATATTTTTCACACCACTGAGAGTGTACATTCTCTGATATTTGCATCCTTATTTTTTTCATTGACAGTATTTCATAAGTACTTTCTCCCATCATTAAAACTCTTCAAAAACAGTTTTAAAGGCTGTATAATAGTTAATTGTATTAATGATTAATAATTGGCATAACCATTCCTCTCTTGCTATACTTTTAGGTTGTATCTAATTTTTTGCTATTATAAGAGTGATGATAATATTATTTTGTGCAAAATAACTGTGTCTATAATTTTCATTGATTCATTAGCACAAAGTTCCTAAGAGAGTATTATCAAACCTAGGGATATGACACTGTTAAGGCTAATTCTTTCAAAAGAGGAAACAAAGTTAGCCTGGACCACATGCTGGCTCTAAAGGGTCAATGCTTTCCCTATAAATCTTTAAGACTACCCATTTGATCATCATTTTTAGCCACTCATTCCCTATTAATGTCAAGTTCACCATTGTATACATTTTAGATTCCAATTTCTTAGCCTTTATGAAAATCAGGATGACATTGCCTGTGTCTTTCATCTTCCAGAAGCACTTCTATTCACTAAAATTCCTCAAAGACGAAGTCAACTTGTCTGTGAGCCCCTTAGTACCCTTGGATGTAATTCATCCAGGTCAGAAGACTTGAGCTCTCTGGGGCAGCAAGGTGCTGTCTTGGTACACACTTCACTGCCCAGCAGGCCCTGCCCCACTGTCCCAGACTCCGGATGACAGTGAGCTTTCTCTTGCTTTAACCTTACAAACAGATTCCCCTGGTTGTGCAAGATTACATCCAAAATGGCGCTCCTCTTCATTTTCTCTGCTTTCTGAAAAATGGAATTGTTATTTTGGCAAGAATTTAGTAGAAACTGTATTGAAATTTTCGTAGAGTGAAAACTATCCCATTTACAGCCACCACTGCCTGCTCCGTAAGGAAGACATCTAGCGGAATGGAAGATCCTCCTCCGTACCTTGATGAGTCTGTATGGCTGAGTTTGGCAGAAGGAATGGTCGAGAAGTAAATGATTCTACAGAGTACAGTGAGAAGAGCTGGTGATTGGGAGGAGAGATGGGAAGGTGAAGAGAGGAAAAACCACCCAGCTGGATCACTCTATGAGGGGAATCAGCCAAAAAGGTCCTCATAGGATGGGACAGCTAAAAACGTTTGAGAACCGAAGTATCTAATATTTAATTGAAGTTGCTGGTAGATCCCCTCTTTTTCTCCAAAAGTGGCTGGCACAGCTCCGCACGGGGACAGCACACAGATGGCGAGCCTGGCCACTGCAGATGGAACTCAGCAGTTGCAGGAGCTCAGAGCCAGGGGTGACTGTGCAGACGTAAGCTTCCTCCACCTTCTGCCCTGGCCTCCTGAGAACTGCCCGCCTTTGGGGGAGGACTTCAGACGGCCACAGGTTGTGCAATGGACGCGTGGACCCATCTTATCCAGGGAGGCCTCTGCTGACATCTGTGTTACATAATAAACACAGCCATTGCTAAAAATAATGGTGATAATATCACAAAATAAAATTAAGAATTAAGTCGGTAGGTCAAGTATTTGGCGTCTTAGAACGCTGAGGCCCAGAGAGGTTAGTTAACGTATCTACGGGACCTGGTGTAATGGTAAACTCTGCTCTGTTTTCAGGTTCTCTGGCTCCTAGTCCCTTCTTCTCACTCCTTGCCCGGAAGGAGAGAGTGTCGCCGCTGAGGTAGATGCGGGGTAGCTCCTCCCTGTCACTCTTCAGGCACCATGTGCTCCTGGTCCCTCGTGGGCTCGGCTTTCCTCTTCGCGGCTCCCACAGGGGCCTTGGGGTCGATCAATGACTAGTTCTGTAGATGAGCTGAGCTCAGAGGTATGTATGGTCGGGGGGAGAAAGAGCTTCCTACCCCCTTGGGAGACAAATTTTTCCTAGTAAGGGGAATTGTGTGAGAAACAAATTCATTAATAAGCCCATCTGTGGTCATAAAGAGATTTCACCTGAACGTCAGAAGATTTTCTTTGTTCCCATTAAAGGATTTAGGCCCCAAACCAAGAAGCATGAAGCAAAGGCAGGGAGGGCTTGGAGCCATCCAGGCAGCCAGGGAGGAAGAGATTGATGACCTGTCCCACTGTTCTCTTCTCCAGATGAGGACGTGCCTGTGTGTTGACTGGGGAGGAGGTTTCCTGAGAGTGCCAAGGCGCAAACCCTGAGATAAAGAGTCATAAATAGACCCAGGCCTGACCCCGAGCCAGGCTCAGTGTCCTTGGCCTGGGAAGGCTTGCAGGCCGGGTCCCAGGTGGGGGGGCTGGAGCTGAGCAGCTGCCGTGGAAATTTCCATGGGCCGTCCACCAGCTCTTGAGAAGCTCTGGGACTCCACACGGCATGAGGAGGACACGGGTTACGAAAGAGGCCCAGGACGTGGTCCCAGCCCACAAGGAGCTAGGCCCCTAGAGAGGACACTCAGAGATGCTTGCCAAGAAAGCAAGTGAACAGCAGGTTGGAAAATCTGAAAACAAACTTGTCAACAAGGTTAAGGCAGGGAACCAGTCAAGAAAAGGTCAATATCGCCTTCCAGTTGTTAGAACCCCATTTCACCTTGCAAGGAAAATGTTGAAAAACTTCACGTTAAGGTAAAAGCTGATTTTATTACTTTAAGTACTATTAAAGGGGCCACAAACAATATATTAATTTTTTTAAAGGAAAAAATTTCACAATTTATTACTAGTTGCTAGAGTCAGATATTCTTAAGAATTCAGGTTAAAACTACAAAATCATTTTTAATACAGAAATCAATGAGAAATTATCAAAAGACATCAGTTCCATGTCTTGGTAACTGTTATGAAAAGCTTTAAAGTGTGCAGTTTGGTAAAATGAGATGTTGCCACCACCCCAGGAATTGGAGATGTGTGTTTTCTCCCTTCTCCCTAGTAAGATTCAGGTTGTGTGTGTGCGTACATGCAAATGCACATGTGCACGTGTGAATCCACAATGATGCGTTCCCGGTGCACTGGGTCGGATACTTTGGGTTGCAAGAGAGAAACCATGAAGAGCATTTATTGGTTCACATGGCTGAAAGGCTGAATGTTAGAGCAGGCTTCCAGTATGGTTTAACCAGGGCCCCAGCTCTGTTTCTCTGATTCTCTCTGCCCTGTCCTCCTTTGTGGGCCAGATTCCTTTCTAGGCTGGCTTTCTTCATGGTTGCAAGATGCCTGTGAACAGCAGCTCAGTTGGAACTGAACAACTCAGTTGGAATTTCTTGACAATTAGTCTGGGGGGGAGAGGGGCTGTCGCTTCCCATAATCATTGTGCTTAAGTCCTGAGCCTCATTCTGATTGGACCCCCAGGACCATGTGCCGATTGGCTCAGGCTCAAAAAAACCTATCACTTTGGCAAGTGGGTTGGGAGTGTCTTACACCATTGGGGACCACCCCTAGAATTGAGTGAGGCCAATGCCACTCACACCAATGGTGACTACACAATGGGGAGGAGGATAAGAGGTATTGGAAAGACATTCCCAATGTCTACCACACCTTGGTAGCAATTTTATTTTATTTTTTTATTTAAGGGGTACTTTCTATGTATACGGCACTATGGGAGACATAAAGATATGCAGTTTACAATCTATTAGCTATAAAAAGACAAATTGACAAATAACTACAATACACTATTAGGTGTGATGTGAAAAAGAGGCATGCAAATGCCAAAAGAAAATCCTGCAAAAGTAAAAGGAAAGGAAGATGGCTTCTGGGTGAAGTGATCAGAGAGGCATCATGTCGCAAGTCACACTGGAATTAGGTCGTAAAGAATGAGTAGGATTTTAATGATTACGGGTGGGAAGGGAAGGCACTGGAGGCCAGGGGGCAGTAAGAGCAAAGCCCCAGAGGCAGAAGGCCAAGGGGCAGTTGGAGAAAGGAGGCAGCCCAGGTTGGTTGGAGCACAGGTTCTAGAAGTTGCTGCTAAGGTGGGAGATGTTACCCCAGTGCAAAGATATCTCAGAGTCCGGGTGATACCTGAGTCAGTAGGATGAACTGACCCACAAAGAGAGGGTGCAAGGTGATCCTGTCTTTTTACATTTTCTCCCATAAAGAAAACTGGCTTAATTCCCCATTTGCCTGATGAGCAGGAAGCTCAGTATCTCCTCCATGGGGCTCCTTCACTCCTTAATTGTCCCCAAACCCAAAGGCTTATACAGCCCCAGGTAGAGGATGGGGTCAGTCTTTGACATGCAAGCAGGGACCCCTGGTCTCTAGTCAGTCTGGGGCCATCCAAGTCCCCAGGTCTCTGTGGCTCCTCCTCGGCCCGCAGCTGCTCGCTTTTCTAAACTCCTCTTCGCGCAGCCTCGCGCTCTCACTCGTGGTTCTAGGTTCTCGGAAGGGAGCGGTGCTGGCTTGCTCCTGGTCCCGGCGTCCAGCATGCTGCTGCTTCCCAGATCTGGGAACCGCTGCTACGTTTCGGTGAATTTAAAGAGAAGTCTCCATTGCCTGTCTGAGGGAGAATAAAGTAAAATACATATTCAGCAACTGGGATGACTTCCCCCACACACTCAAGAATTTAAGGACAAGGGGTCAGCCTGACAGCATAGCAGTTAAGTTCATGCACCTGGGGTTCACAGGTTTGGATCCCGGGCGTGGACCTACACACCAGTCATCAAGCCATGCTGTGGCAGTGTCCCACATAGAAGAACTAGAAGGATTTACAACTAGGATTTACAACTATGCACTGGGCTTTTGGGGAGGGAAAAAAAAGAGGGAGATTGGCAACAGATATTAGCTCAGGGCCAATCTTCCTCACCATAAAAAAAAAAAAAAACCCGTTTAAGGACAAGAGAATGAATGATATACTCATTTTTGATTCAGAGTATGCTACTTCCCAATTCATGCCATACAATCAGATCTTTATCCTTAGCAAAATCAACCTAGAATCAGAAAAGTTGCCTGGAGTGAGGTGGATGTGATGGGAAAGAAGGCCATGAGGGAATTTGGGAGGGAAAAAAAACTGTTCTATATTTTAATTGGGGTGTTGGTTACACAATGTAATCATTTGTAAAATCTTATGAACTGTAGACTTAAGATCTGTGCATTTTACAGAATACAAATTATATCTCAACTTAAAAATAGAAAAATTAAACCGATGGTTAGATATACTTGGCTAATGGCCATATGCTACAGTGTGTTGAACAGAAATTAATCTGGAAAAGAAAAATAATAGCCTGTTGAGAAGGCAGGCGCGTGCTCCCTGAGCATGGGCGCAGGAAAGCGGAGAGAAGCAACAGACCTTGCTAACGGGCTGCGCTGGGAGGTTTCCAGTTGTGGGAGCCGAGCCTCTTCTGTAATGCGCTTAATCACTTCTAATTGTGCAGTCAGCTAATTACAGTAATTAGTCTTGCCTTAGTCAAACAGGCTTGGGAGTTCCTTGGAGTCATTCTCTTAGCAGGACTGGGTTGGGTTTTCCCGAGCCTGGCGGCCTCCTCAGATGGTGGCCTCAGATGGTGGCCTGCGATGGTGCATCCCCAGTGCTCCCGAAATGATCTGTTTTTGCCATTGGGTGTTTGGGGGAGGGGGTGACTAATCTTGGAGCCAGTGAGTCATGCGCGCCAGGCCTCTGAGCACAGCGACGGCACAGCTCTCTCGTCTCGCCAACCCAGGCTCGTCTGGATCCAAGTGAACCACATTTTGAAAACAGGATAATTCATTGCAGCACTGTTTGAAAGAGCAACAGAATAGGAACAGTCTGCGTGCCCGCCAGTACGAGACTGGTTAGAGAAACTATGGTTCATCCATATAACGTAACACTGAAAGAAAGGAGGAGGACGCGCTCTATGCACTAATTTGGAAAGAGCTTCAGGCTATGTTATTAAAGGAAAAAACAACAGAGGGTATAGTATGACCGTTTACATAAAATGTGAGAGCGTATGTTTGTATTTGCTTATATGTGTATAAAGGAACTTTGAAAAAAGACAAGCAGCTTAATAACAGTGGGTACATCTGCGTGGGACGGGGCAGGGGTGTGGGGCATCGGGGTTGGGAAGAGGCTGGGAGAGAGATGGAGTAGGGGGAGATTTTTCATGCAAACCTTTTAAGAATAGTTTTTTAAAAATCCTGAGAGACTAGAATCAATTAATTACAATGATCAAAAGTTTATAAAAATAAGGAAAAGTTTTAGGGAAAGGGGGACCCCAGTGCTCGCCTAACCCGGCATTTCCCACACGGTGGTTTGCAAAGGCGTCCTGGGAAATTCGTGTACTTAAAGCAATAGTGGAATTTGTTTTAATTCCTATTTTCTGTGTTCAATGAATAAAATAGTTACTAACCAGTTGTTTTCTGTACCGACAGAGCCCTCTGCGAGCCCCGGGGCTGTGGGGTGAGCACACGGGCTGCTGGCCCCTGGAGAGCGGGTGCGCAGGCATCTTCCTGCTTTGAAACAACTCCTCCTGCTCTGGTGGTTCTGACCGTCACACGGTTTTGAGTTGTTTTTATTCTTAGCCACATATGGTTTAATTTATACCCCAAATGGCCCAGGAATTGACCAAGATTCTTTGCTCAACCAAACTTTAGTCAGGCTCCTGAACCTTCTCCTAGGCCCGTCTGTGCACTTCCTTATCACATCCAGTTTTAGCTACGTCAGTTTAGCAAGAATCCTCCAGCCCCCATATCTTACCACTCTTGCTATCTGTTCAGGTTCCTTGTCCTCCACCCGCCTAGGTGATGTCTGATCCCCCTGGCCTGTCTTTAGCAAGAATCCCTTTAGGTCAGGTTAGCCAGAATCCCCTTTACCCCTTGTTGGGTTGCAACCTCGGAAGCTTGTCAGGTATCATCTGAAATCGGGTCCCGTACACGGAGGGCAGGCAGAGACCAGAGAAAGGGGCAGACCACTCCGGATGGGTAGGTGGCAGTTTTAATGAGCGAGGGAACTTACTTATGAGGCTTGTCTTGGGCGGCCGCGAGACGAGCAGTTTTCCACACCCACCCGTCAAAATCTTACAGTTTGTATAGAGGCCTTAACTGGGCTCAGTGACGTATACCATCCAGATGGTCTCACCGCCACAGTGCTCTCTCAGGCTGTGTCCTCAGGGCAGCTTCAGGGAGTGGGGAAGGCAAGTGGAATGCACATTCCAAGGTGGGGGCTGGGGATCCTCCAGTTGCCCAGGTCCAGCTCAGGGGTCAACCAGCAGTCACATCCTCTTGAAGATTTCCCCCAACACCCCTGATGTTTCCTCTTAGTAATTTTCCATGCTCTGATCCCCACCCTGCTCCTTGGCTATAAACTTCCACCTGTCCTTGCTGTTTTCAGAGTTGAGCCCAGTCTCTCTCCTCCTTGCAAAAATCCCATTGCAGTGGTCCCCATACCTACCATGGTGGGCCTGAATGCTGTCTGCCTTACCATCTTTAATAAGTGTCATTAATTTTTTTTTCTTTAACAGAAACAAAAAGAATCCTGTTGTTGAACACTGTTGATGTAACGTGGAGCATGAAAATTATAATTCTATAAATGTGCCTCGTGATTTTTTTCTCCAGGTCTAGAAGTTGTGATTTATCAAGCTTTTACATAGAAAATTAAGTGGTTCCACTTTAAAATCGAGCGTTAAAGAGAAAATATTGTGAGCAGTACATAAATTGACTTGCCAAGTATTATGAATAAAGACTATACTTTGACATCATTTAGAAATGAAAGATGCAATTATTAAAGTAGACTAGATGATTTTTGGTGGGCAAAATGTGAGAGTTCTATATACCTAGTATCTATGGGTTATAACATCAAGATGGTCTAAGAGGACTTGAAACATCAGAGCTAATAAATTAGATGAAATCGCAGAAAATGTGGTCTATTTCAATTTAATTTTTTATTTCAAAATCTAGAAGTTTTTTCAGGTATATGTATGGTAGCAATTTAGTAAAAAATGAATATTAATACAGTACTTTGGTGAATACATGATACATATTGCAATGTTGGGTTTATCATTCATTTATTAGCAAAAATAATAATTAAAATTATATAATGTCTGCTATATGACAGGCATCATCTTTTTTTTTTTAAGATTTTATTTTTTCCTTTTTCTCCCCAAAGCCCCCCTGTACATAGTTGTACATTTTTAGTTGTGGGTTCTTCTAGTTGTGGCATGTGGAATGCCGCCTCAGCATGGCCTGATGAGCAGTGCCATGTCTGTGCCCAGGATCCGAACTGGTGAAACCCTGGGCCGCCGCAGCAGAGCATGCGAACTTAACCGCTTGGCCACAGGGCCGGCCCCAACAGGCATCATCTTAAGTACTTTACACACATTAATTCATTTAATCCTCAACAATCCTATTAGATACAGGTACTAGTATGATCCTCATTTGGCAGAGGAGGAAACTGAGGCACAGAAAGGTTAAGTCACTAGCCCAGGGTCACACAGTTAGTAGGCAGCAGAGCTGAGATTCTAATCTAGATAGTCTGGGTCCAGGGTCCACGTTCTTGACCACCAACATTGACTACTTACTATTTGCCAGGAACTGTTCTAGGTGCTGGGGACACAGTGGGGAAACAAAGAAACAAAGATTTTGCTCTCATGGGACTTACATGTCAACTGGGGAAGACGCACAATAAACAAACAAATAAATAAATAGATAATATGTTAGGTGATAAAAAGTCCTAGGAAGCAAAACAAAGCAAGATAAGGGCATAAGTTAAATGGGAACAAGTTAGAGGAAAAGGATGGGTCACAATTTGGGAGGGTGATCAGGAAAGGACTCTAATAAGGTGACGTTTCGTCAGAGAAGCACATAGGGCATGGGAATGAGCCAGGAGGGTGTCTGAGGGACGAGCATTCCAGGCAGCAGGAATCGTGAGTGCCAAGTCTCGACTGGACTGTTCTGGGCGTGGTGGAAGAATGTTGACAGGGGCCTTTTTGGTCAGAATAAAGTAACAGAGCGTGACGGCAGTTGAAAATAACATCTGAAAGACACCTGGGGGTGAGATCACGTTGAGTCTTATAGAGCAATGTCAAGATTTGGCATTTCATTCAGAATGGGATGAGAAGCCATTACAGAGGTTTTTTGTTTGGTTGGTTTTTTTTTTTTTTTTTTTTTTTCTGAGGAAGATTGGCCCTGAGCTAACAACTATTGTCAATCTTCCTCTATTTTGTATGTGGGATGCCTCCACAGCTTGGCTTTATGGACAGCATCTAGGTCCATGCCTGGGATTGGAACACGTGAACTTAACCACTACGCCACCAGGCCAGCCCCATCAGAGGGGTTTGAATTTAGAAATAACGTGATCTGACTCTGTTTTCAAACAAAGCAGCAAGTGAACACAAAGGAACCACTGTAAGATGAGTGGAAACAGAAGACCAGTTAGTTGGCTATTTAAAATAATTCAGGTGAAAGATGATGTTGGTTTGGACCAGGGTAGCAGTGATGCTGAGGTAAAAATCGGCTGATTCAGGATGTCTTTTGAAGATAGAGTAGAAGGATTTGCTCATGGATATGTGTGTGGTATGAGAGGAACAGAGGAGTCAGGGAGGATGCCCAAGCTTTTGATCTGAGCAACGGATGAAGGCCAGTTACTCAAGGCCTTGGGGGAGGAGCAGGGATGGGGTGGGAAGTCAGGGTTTCAGTCTTGGACATTTGAGTTTGAGATGCCTATTGGACACCCTCGTGGAGATGCTTAGAGGCTGCTGGACGCGTGATTCTGGAATTCACAGGAGAGGTCAGTGCCAGGGATCAAAATGTGAAAGCTGTCAGCTTATGGGAGGTGGACGAGATCACTAAGGGAGTGGGTATAGACGGAGAAGGGGGTCCTGAGGCCCTCCAACATTTAGAGGTCAGGAAGATGAGGAAGACCCGGCAACTGAAATTGAGGAGAAATGGCTGGTTCTTAGAAGGATAACCAGGAGAGTATGTTGTTCCAGGGGCTAAATAAAAAAACTGTTTCAAGAAGGAGGAAGTAGGATGATATTAGTGAAAATGGCAAAGTAAGGGCCTTTGAAAATACTGTCCTCCACAAAAACAATGAAAAACCTGACAAAAATAGGATCCACTTTTTCCAGAACTCTGCAAACTAACCAAAGGCTTGCAACAACCTGGGGAGTGTTTATTAAAGAAAAATGGCTGAATCTCAGTAAGAAAAATGAGCTTTGTGATGTTGTAATTTATTCTAGTCTAATACCCCGCTCTCCAACTTTGTGGTAGCTTGAAAACCAGCAGTCTGCGCTCCTGGAGCAGCCTGGCTGAGTGAGCGTGATGGAGCTGTCACTCCTGCAAGGCCTTGTTCTTGGAGAATTGTCATTATTTCACCTGTCTGGCGGTTCCCTGGAAGACCTCACTCGCAGGACTGCCTGTATTTGACCTGACTCAAGCTCCCTCAGTGTGAAAAGCACTTGTCCTAGGGGGCATCTGTCAAAAAAAACCTTACAGGCATGTGTTTTAACTTTGCAGCTGCCTGAGGCCGTGGACAACAGCTGGGGCAAACAAGAGACGAACCAAAAAGCTTAGAAGGAGAAGCTAGGGCATGAGATGTGCGCAGGGACTTTGAAAAGCTCTGAGGTGTTCCTGAGACTCTGGAAGGCCACACACATGCCAGGGCTGTGCACGTGCTCAGGAAAGACCTGAGAAGGCCTGAGGCCTCACCTCTGACTGACCTTGAGGCTCTGCACAAGCAGGAAGGTAGGTGAAGGCAGAGTCAAGCCCCAACATGCACACACGGGCCCTCAGCAAAGCCTGGATGATTTATCGGTTCCAGGAGTTTAAGGAAATCTCTGCCACATCATCAGCTGACCGCTAAGCTAAGTGAGCAGACTTCAGTGGCCATGTACGACAAAATCAGACTTTACAGCACTAGTTCAGAAAAGTCACTCAACAAACAAAGAAAAACAACTACGACAAGCAGGAGCAACAACCAACCCTGGGGAGGGAGGAGAACCTGATTTCTAGAGATGCCACATTATATTATTTAAAATGCCCAGTTTTCAACAAAAAATTATGAGACAAGCAAAGAAACAAGGAAGTGTGGCCCATACATAGGGAAAAAGCAATCAATAGAAACATTGAAAATGTCCCAGACCTTGGACTTACTAGATAAGGGTTTTAAATCTAAATAAGCTATTTTAAATATATTTAAAGAGCTAAATGAAACCATGTCTAAAGAATGAAATAAAAGTATGAGAATGATGTCTCACCAAATAAGGAATATCAATAAAAAGGTAGAAATTAGGGGCCGGCCTGGTGGCGCAGCGGTTAAGTTTGCACATTCTGCTTCGGCAGCCTGGGGTTCACCGGTTCAGATCCTGGGTGCCGACATGGCACCACTTGGCAAGCCATGCTGTGGCAGGTGTCCCACATATAAAGTAGAGGAGGATGGGCACAGATGTTAGCTCAGAGCTAGTCTTCCTCAAAAAAAAAAAGGTAGAAATTACATTTAAAAAAACCAAATAGAAGTTCTAGAGTTGAAAAATACAATAGCTGAAATGAAAAACTCAGTAGAGGGGCTCAACAGCAGATTTGAGCAGGCAGGAGAAAAATCAACAGACTTGAAGATAGGTCAATTCAGATGATCCAGTTTGAAGAAAAGAAAGAAAAAACGATAAAGAAAAATGAATGCAGCCTCAGAAATCTGTGGGATATCATCAAACATACCAACATACATATAATGGAGTCCTGGAAGGAGAAAAGAGAAGAAAGTAGGCACAGAAAGAATATTTGAAGAAATAATGGCAGAAAACTTCCCAATTCTGATGAAAAACATTATATGTCCAAGAAGCACATCAAACTCCAAATAGAATAAACTCAGAGAGAAGATAAACACCTAGACACATGGTAATCAAACTGTCAAAAGACAAAGGCAGAATCCTGAAAACAGTAAGAATGGGGGCTGGCCGGTGGTGTAGTGGTTAAGTTTGCATGCTCTGCCTTGGCGGCCTGGGGTTCACAGGTTCGGATCCTGGGCGCAGGCATGGCACTGCTTGTCAAGCCACGCAGCATCCCATATAAAGTAGAGGAAGATTGGCACAGATATCAGCTCAGAAACAGTCTTCCTCAAGCAAAAAGAGGAGGATTTGCAATAGATGTTAGCTCAGGGCCAATCTTCCTCATACATATACAAAAAGAAAACAGCAAGAAAGAAGCAACTTATCATGTAGAAAGATCCTCAATAAGATTAACATCTGATTTCTCATCAGAAGCCACAGAGGCCAGAAGGCTGTGCATGACATATTTAAAGTACTGAAGGAAAAAACTCCTGTCAAGTAAACACTCTACATCCAGCAAACTATCCTTCAAAAATGAAGGAGAAATTAAGACATTCCTAGATAAACAAAAGCCAGTCCTGGTGATCTACTGGTTAAGATTTGGCACTCTCACTGCTGCGGCCTGGGTTCGTTTCCTGGTCAGAGAACCACATCACCCTCTGCCAGTTGCCATACTGTGGCAGCTATGTGTTGCTGTGATGCTGAAAGCTATGCCACTGGGATTTCAAATTCCAG